TCCCCCCAACATCCCCTAATTTTCTGTTTTCTCTTCCCCCTTTCCAACCCTCCAGTCCTTCTCCCGTTCTCTCTTTGAGGCCTCCTATTTCAACTGTCAAAAACATTTCAACTGTTACATCTGTTTTCATGCATAATGATAGAGCAGTCATGCAAATGTAATACTAAAAGACATCTGTCCATCTCAGATGATGTGAGCACCAGACCAGTTCAGATACCATGTGAGCTATGTGAGTGGCTTTGGAAGTCCAAATCAGGACTGTCGGTCTTAGCTATAGGTAGCACAGATGTAAGTAATAGAACCAGAGGATGAAGCTGAAGGATTTTTATCACTCTGAGGGGCTTTTACATTTCACTTTTCATTTCCTTCTTTCTCAGCTTCTTCAGCTACTTGGGTTCCACAGTGCGGCACAGTTCTCAAATGCGAGCTGTGGCTAGCACCATCTTCCTGGCTTGTAGCATTGATACTGAAAACCTCGTGTCCTTCATGCAAACATTTATAATGCAAATTTTGCTCAATCCCCTGATTTTAGAGCATCTACGCATTCTCCATAATTTAAATGGCATCCACTGAGTGATCAAGCTAATGGAGATGCTCCTGCTTGAGGACACAAAATGTTTGAAAAACTAGAACTGTGTGAGAAGCAAGGTTTTTTGAAGATGTCATTTAAGGGACCAATAAAAAATGGGAGAGATGTTAGACAAGCTCAGATCTGAAGAAGGGCACCTTGTGCCCAAAAGTTTGGGTAATATTTCTCCCAGCTATACAGCTGGTCCAATAAAAGATATCATCAAAAAACCTTGCTTCTCTTATTTAATGGACTGTCGTAACTACAAACCTACTAGAACTGAGAGACACATGGAGGTTCAGGACCCTCATCAGCCTCTTATTTTAATTGGTGATTTTGTTTCTAAAGGCACATGGAATCATAATAGAGAATGTCAATTCCACTTTTTGTGTATATGACACCATAAAGAAGTACTGCCCAAACCAAGAGAAATAAAATGGAAAAATAACTTCATTTCTAGATAATCTGTCACCAATTTATAAACAAACTGAGACAATACACAAAAGAATAGTGTGCCCTAGACATCATGGAACTAGTGGTCATGTTGGAAATCAGTCCTCTTAATAGGAAGTCTTAAAAGAAAAATTCCAAATTCTTTTCCATTTTCCTCTGACCTTTACCTCATAGCTAAAACTCAGGACTGCTTTACTGAATTCATCTATTGTTTTACTTAGCTGTGATACTCACAGCATGCTATATGCAGTCCTGACAGTAATGAGTAAAGCTTTTCACTTGCATATAGTAATATGCACATAAAGAAATGGCACGTTTCTTTTTTGCCCCTCTTTGTAAGTCCCTCCATTTATTCCCCCACTCCTTCACTTCAGCCCACACAACCCTTTTTCCCTTTTAACTTTCAAAGATGCCCACAGTTTAGCCCTACCCTCTCTCATTTTATTACAAGGTCAACTTCTGTCATTGCTCCACAAGTGATACCAGGCTACAATAGCCAAATTCTCCATTTTTAAACTAAAGCCAAACTAAGCACTGGAACGTAGCATATATGGAAATCAGACTATTTTTAAATCTGGATAAATCTATTAGGTTCTTGATAGGGTTAACTTAATGTAAGAGGACCTGAGTTACTCAAAATAAAACCTAAATTAAATAATCTATCCCAGAGCATTTCACCTTTATTCATTCTAATTACTCCAAATTATTTTATTTCACAGAGAACTAACATGATATCAATTTAATACATATACTAAATATATGATAAACATAAAAGAAAAATTCCACTCTGTATATAAAAATGTCTCTCATCAAAATGTTCAGCTGCACCTCAGTAATACCAATATTTTTTCCTTTTGTGTGCATGGCTGGTATTTATTCAAATGTGCAAATATGTGACAAAGTTGAAGTTCATGGGCATGAAATATGCACCTCTGTTGCTGTTATATACCATACTAGCATTTTGAGTATTCCAAGTATGCAAACAAAAACACCTGATAATTAAATGCAGATAATTTAGTAAGAAGGACAACTTGCTCCTTCATAATCATTTTCTAAAATTTGTTTTAAAGACTAGTTATAATGTTCTGCTACACTGTGATATCAAAGGCAATAAATCACTCTGCTCTTCGAAATAAAAGCATTACTGTTGCCACATTCCATTACCAATAGGAATATCAGTGTTAAGGAAATCTTTTTTAATAGAATTACTACACATTATGAGATCTGCAGCTCTTACAGACAAAAAAGTACTTTATAGCTTGGTTTTAATTTCATAATCATGAACAACTCAATTGCACACACTTCCCTTGTTTCATAAAACTCTCCCAAATAGAAGGCTCAAAAAGGCTTTTTCCAAATAATCATCACTTAGTAAAAACCGTTCAATAGTTAAAAAAAACCCTAGGAGAATATAAAGTATAGTATGAAAGTCACTGGCTATAGCTAAACAACCTTATAAAGCTTCACTTTGCATAATTTGGGGGGGGGCGGGGGGGTGTTAAAAAATGGGCCCAGAAGGACCAAAACACAGAGAATTTCCCATATTTTTGTTCCTTTTTAAAGACTATTATTTGTGTTGTATTTTGCAAGGCCTGCATTCATTTTTTTAACTCAACTTCGTAAATTTTGTTTACCTAGTAACTTTGATATCTTTGGGAACTGACCAAATGGTTCCCAAAGGATTGTGCATTTTAACCTAGGAAGCTTCTCTTTCAGTGGATAGTGTTTTGGGTTTTTTTAATAGGGCTAAAACACACAGTTATGTTCCTAAGCATCTATTTTTAGTATGCAAATATTAATTTAATGTAATGTATCAGATTACAGCTTGATTTTACACTAATGACAAGGTTCACAGAGGGTGTGTTGTACCTTTATGAACTGATATTAGCACTGTAAGAACAAAGAAATTATTTTTTGAATAGTTGCCAAAACACTGTTGTTAGGACACATGTTTTCAGTTAAAAAAAATGTGTGGAATTCATGCCAGTGTCGAATGTGGCACACACTGAAATCAGGAATGAAACTGTTCCACAGCTCTGATGGATACCCTGATAGTGCCACTCAACTTATTCCTGAATGAGCAGTAAAATGTAATATATTCAAAACAATGCATACATTTAATAGTAAAATAGATATAGCATAAACATCTAGGAGAGAAACAACCATTCATAAAACCTAGATAAGTGTTCTTTACACATCCATGGCATAAAGTTATGTTTCACATAATAATATTAACTTACAGAAGATTAACCTAAAGTCAAGGCATAAAGTAAAAATGGATTCATTCTGTGACTCCAGGAATTGGTAATAGGAGAGTTGTCCTTCTGTCTCAAATAGGTCACGTATGTGAATACAGCACCAGTCATCAGTGACTCTAGTCATGACCGTCTGACAGTTGTTTAGTGAGCTCTGTGGGCAGGGAGTTGATGGACAAAGTCCAGCCACAATAGACAGGTATTCATATAAGAAAAACCACCAATGCCGTCCTTGTCTTTATTGGTAATGTTAGCAGGGAAGCCAAGGATTAAACACACCTGTGACTTGAACTAACTGTTTGCTTAACGAGAAGGTTCAGGTACACTGGAAGAGTTTGTTGCCGCTGCTTGTAGTGCTATGAGAAAGACGTGTTCAGTCTGCAGGACTGTGACAATGCTGGCACCTCTTAAAAGAGAAATGAGCTGTAGGAAGTACTAATATGTGTTACCCCTTAGTCAGATTGGTGCAGACTGTGAGTGGTTTTGCCTTCCTCTGTAGTTGGGCATGTAGCCCATCTCCTGAGATCTCTCAAGCATATTTTAACAACCTTCATAGCAGCAAGACAATGGCCACTGTTCTCCCTGTGCTTACCTGTGGCAGCTTAGGGTGCTGTTTCTAATGGTTGCATCAAGGTTGACTGTTTAGTTTTATTAATGGGTTAGTCAGTGGTTTTGTATAGGGTGGTTTGGATAGGGATGATCCTGCCTCAGGCAGGGGGTTGGAATAGGGAGGGCCTTTCAGCCCCACCTCTCTGTGATTCTGTGAGATACATACCAAGCTTCACCTCTGCCAATGAACAACCAGGATGCCATAACTTTATAATTTAAGTTGACAATTTAGCCTGACTACGTTAGGATCTTAAAATGTTATAATTATACTAGCCAATTGCCTGTAAAGAATGAAGGGGGTGGGAAATTGATTGCTGTCACCTCTGTGCTGCTGCTGCTCTGCTTCTGCCCCCCTCCCTTGTTTGGCTCCATGTGTGCACCCCCCACCCCCGTCCTCTGCTGGCCTTGGCCCCCCTTGCTGTGTCCCTCCGTTTCCTGCTGCTTGTAAAGTGTGCTTTGGGTTTTTTTTCACTTTGCATCTGTTGGCAGGGGGGAGTGAGGCCAACACTGTGATGCCAGCACCCCGGTTTAGGGCTGGGCCTGCTCCCTCCCCCCTCCCCCCATGCTGCTTCAGGACTGGACCGCTTTCCCCCACTTTGCCCCCTCTCTCCCATCCCAGCCGGCTTTTGAGGTCCAGTGCTGGCGCCACTTGCAGGAAGCTGCTGGCCTCAGCTCCCCCGCGCTCTATCCGGTCCTCGGCGCTGCTTTGCCATCATGGCAGCTCTCCACTGCGCAGTCTCCTGTCAAGCACTTGGAGCACTCTGATTATCTGTTTCAGTCAGCCAGTCAGAATGCGAATAAAGTGTTATGGACAGACAGATAAAGGCTTTTATAATATTAGAATTTTAAATATCTAATTTAGTAATTATATTTTAAATGCATTCTTTCATAGTGTGTTCAAGCCTCAAGACTTCTCCCTGTTTGATGAGGTTTGAGTCTGATCTTCCTTCTCTTGGGGCTCTATTTTATGTGTTTTGCCAGAATGCCTCTCTTGGATTCAGTTTGGGTCCCCTGCTCCTAAACAGAAGGCAACAGATTATCAGAATAACCATAGAATTCATGCTGGCTCTAAAATCCAGTGATATTTAAAGCTTTCTCTGTTTAAAATTTGACAGATAACCATCGAGAGAGACAGTGGTTTGGATGTGAGCTCCCCTAAGCATGGAAAGATAGATCAAGACAACATGCCTCATGTTGGTGGGAATACCTGGGCTGGTGGAACAGGTTTGCTCTCATTTTCTTTTCATGATGTATCATGCATCTTTGAAAGATATCCCAAATACGTTTTCTGAAAGTTAAAGATTTCAAAACTGTGTTGATTGTGAAATTAATTTCCTACTGCAAACTATTTAAATCCAATGCATTAAATCCAATGCAAGATGAAAAGTTCCTGCTCATGCCCAAGACTAGGCCAGGACACACACAAATATCTTTATTTCATACATGTTTTAAACCATTTGTTTTTTTTCTCTGCTAATACTTTGGTAATGCGGCGTTCCCTAATTTTAAATGACATGAAAGGACTCAGAAAATATAGTAGTATAAATCTCAGGTGCAGAGTCAGCCAACAAACTCTGGAGAAAAAAATCCTAATTGCTTTAAAGTTACAAGAGTCAATGGCTGTAAGGGCTAATAGCTGTGAGGATTTGTGTAGGACTTAAGTGAAGTATAGGTCCATTCCCACAGGGGTAAATTTCATCACTGATGCAAACAAAACCTGGATGTGAACAGTGTAAATCAGAAATATAAAACTGTAACTCTTCTTTACCGTGGCATTTCTTCACTTTAGAAAGCATGCAAGTGTTTCTTCACTTTAAAAAGCATGCAAGTGTTTGCATGTAAAGTATTTTCCATGGGACTTGAGGACATTTTTTGCTACAAATGGTATGCAGTGGGGTGACACTAGAGGCTTTAAAAAAGGAAAACAAACACTATGTCATAATCATCATCAAATATGCATTTTTGATTTTTATACTGACTGTTCCAGGTGGGAGAGACACAGCAGGGCTGGGCGGCAAAGGTGGGCCCTATCGACTGGATGCTGGTCACAAGGTTTACCAGATATCTCAAGCTGAGAAAGATGCTGTTCCAGAGGAGGTGAAGAGAGCTGCAAGGGAAATGGGTGAAAAGGCTTTTAAACACAGGTTAACATTCAGTTTTGACTTCTTTTTCTTCCCTCACCCAAGAAGTTCAGTTGTATAGCATTATGACAATAAATAAGTAAAGTTATTCTGATAAAATTACAGTACTTGATAACTGCTCCCTAATCACCACTGTTTACAATTGTACATCAACACTAATTAACACCTTAGGACAGTTGTTCTCAACCCGTGGGATGCATGTAGTCCAGTCAACATACTGCTGCAGCCCATGTGACATCCTCTTTTTTTTTTTTAAAAGTAAAGATTACCACCTGCAGTAGTTAGTCAAGGAGAAAAACTTGGGAAATGGTGGATTCCCTCTTGCAGGCTGCAGAGTTCCAGCCCGCAAGGGCTGCTTGGGGCTGGGGGAAGCGGGAGAAAGGTGATCGGAGGCAGGGGGTGCCATGTTCATGTGCACATGCACACATGCACATGGCAGCCAGGCAGCATGGAGAGCAGATCCCGCAGCTGCCTCCAGGTAAGTCTGTGCATGGGGCCTTGGGGGGAGGATAGATTGAGGCCAGCACAGTGAGAGAGGGAGGGAGTACAGTAGAGTAGAATAGGGCAGGACAGGGTTTGGGCTGGAGGTGCTGTCCAGCCAGAGCA